ATATTTGGCGAAAATGAAGCGAACGAGCGTCGACAAGAATAAATAGGCAGCGATCGACATAGTGTATGTAACGTTGGTCTAACTGTGGGTAACACGTGGAGAGGCTAGGGTGCACCGTCTGCGTGATACATCGACGGCAATATCCACCTGTTTCGCGTGAAATACGAAAGCACGCTGTCCGTTGCGCCTCTGTAGATCTTCGATATTGCTTGCCAGTTTGAGTTACGGGGACGTTGCCTTTTCCTACGTGGCCCCCTCATTCGATACATACTAACGTCCGAAAACTTTTCAATCTCACAGAGAAACTTTGAAAATTTGCTTTCTGCTTTAATAGATTTGCCACATTAGTCATAATAATATGTACCGCCGAGTGCCAAGAAGTTGGTAGTCGATTCTGTACGGTTATAACGCGGTAGATCAACCTGTTTGAATAGACGTATAAAATATGATGAACTAAAGTAGGCAGTAACGAAACTTCTTTCGAAACGAACAATTTGTTGCTTGCACTCATACGATGGTGTACACGCGTTTTGAGAAAGACTGTACGTACATGAACGAACGAAAGAAATCAATCGCTTAGGTCAGTCGAGTCCTTTTTCTTTCATTCTCGCTTCTTTTCGTCTCATTTTGTCTCGTTTAGCCCGGCTTCCAGTTCTGCACGCGTCATTTAAGCCTGCCTCGAGAACCGGAAGTCGATGCGCCGTTGCTCGGTCTACCGCACTCTGCCCTGGCATTCTGTGCATGCAATATTCGACCTAGCCGTTTCTAGATTTCAATGAAAGCGCTTGTACTCGAGATTGTTGCCACCGATTCGCGCACAACAGAGATCAGGCTACCGAGCACGTTTGATCTTACGTCAAATGTTGGATATTGTCGCTTCACGCGATATAGTTACGCTTTTCTTGCAACATTTTATTTTATTATTGATATTCTTTCATTTTCCGTAACTCTAATGCCGATCTTTAAAAGACAAGAGGCCGGGAATTTATTCGGACTTGTAGTAATTATACCGGATCGGCGAGGAAAAGACTAGCGCGTAATCGTATCTTCGCATAACCATCGAGAATAATGTTTCATAAGTATTACCTATACGAGAGTGTTAGCGTTGGTTGTACGCTAGCAAACTGTGTAGACGCGACAAAAAGTAACGTCATCCGGATTGGCGAAGCGTGAGATTCTGCTCGCTGCTGGTCAGCACGTGTCCTTGCGACCATCCTCTTTCAAGTTCGCGTCGTTACGTGTAACGAAATATCGTATTTCACAGTTGTAAATTTGTGGAAAATTTCGTTTAATCGCGATCGCGTGAACGGTGAGACGGCTCGATCGAATCGAAAACGCGTTCGTTGCGAGTCACGCAACCGTGAGTCTATCGATTACGATTGCACCGAGTTAATTTTGACTCTGATTTCATTTCACCGCTGGAATACTCGCGGAACATCCCATGGAAACGCGAATACGAAGGAGGTGATGCGAAAACTAATTTTAACACCTTTTAACGCGTAATATTAGCACGGCGAGAGCAGAATTCCTTCGCTATCGCGATCAGACGCGGTAATTGCGCGTCCGTTCGTTCGGAGGATCGCTATTTAAATTCAGAACGTGGTCCGTGATAGGAAAAACTGAGTATTTATGAGCGGTCGAATGCCGCACGACTTTTGAATATCCGATATTCGGAGAATCCGCTAAAGGAGAAGGTATTCGCGTCGAATTACGACCGGTTGCTTAGCCACTGCTGAACATATGCGATCGCATCGTATAAGAACGTTCATCAACCGTGCACACTCGTTTGCGAATGCGTTTTCTCGACGCGTGCACTTGTGGTACTCGCATCAGGCGGACAGAGACGGATCAACAACCGGACGTTCCTCAGGACCTGAGTTTCTTTCTCGTTTTATCCACTCGTATAGCATGAACACGCCGTTGAGAAGCAGTATGTACAGTGACGGACAAAAGAAACTTTCAAACGTATAAGAAATCATGATAATTTTACAAAAGTAACGCATTTTCGTACATATACGTATCGTAGGAAATAGAAGAACAAGAATGCCCAGTGTAGGAAGGAGGAAATACATGTTTTATTTAAAAGAGCTTCCAGTAAAATTTGAACGAGAAATGTTCTTTGTTCGCAGTTTCGGTTTTTTTTCGGTATCGTCTTTCTTTCCGAGGAAAATATGTTCGAGATGTCTAAATGCATAACCGATTCTATGCTATACGATGAATTACGTACGCACGCAGTTGAACAACGATATCGTGAAACGCTTTTAATAAATTTTCAAGTAGTCGGACGGTGCTTTAAAATAAAATGTACAAGTCAGAAGACGCAGCCGGTCGATGAGGTTCGAATTCGAGACAAGTACCGTTTAAGTGGATGTAAGCAGTACGCTTAATTATCCCGTAAGGAGTTCGATGCCAATTTGCAGTGGTTTCCTCGAAGCGCTACAGAATCGATTCGTTCGTCTTCGAAGGAGATAATTTCGCGCACTGACCAGTCTTTTTGCACTTTTACCGTAGTAGCTAGTTACGTTTGTTTCCAAGAAGGCTGCACTGGCAACTTCTTTAGTAAGACACCGCAAAAGTAAGAATTCCTAACCTGACTAAAAAAGTTTAATCCTTCTGGGGGGAAACAATGAAGGACAAAGTTTTCCAGTACAGAAGCGGACATCGAGTTTTGCAACGTATTAAAAAAATTGCGATTTTATTTCGCTAAAATTGTTATCCGTATATTAAAGTAGTAATAACTTGTAGCAAATAAATGTTCGAGCGCGAAGAGTTAATTCGAGCAGTTAAACTCTCTACACGTTGGTCGCCACGCGGACAAACATCCCCAGCTGATGTACTCGCGAACACGTGTGTCTCCTCTTCTCTTCGCTTTGCTTCTTCCATTTCTTCGTTGTCTGCTTCTTTCTGCCAGTCAGTCGCGTTTCAAACAGCCGACGTGAAAGAACTCAACGATTCCGATGACCCGCGAATGTTCAACGAATTCCACCGCGTCAACCAGTTAATCCAAATTCGTTCCGGAATTTGTGCATGGACCTTCGAATAGATAATTTTACGCGCGAGTAGTCGTCTGGAAAATCCTCGGCCAAACGATTCACGATTGTTGGGAGCAATTTTGGAAATAGTTTTGAAATGGTGTAACCTGTGCAGTGCTCGCTTTGTGCTCGTAGCTTTCGTACACATCGTCGATGGATACATACCGTCGCTTGTAAATCATCGATAACGTATCGGTGAAAAATTCAATTGCAATTGTTTAGAGAGTAATTTATGCAAAGTTGTACGAGGTAATAATCTTTACGAACGACCAATTGTTAAACGCGTTAAAATACGAAACACGGTTGCTTCTCGTACGGGAATCCTGGAAAATTACGGATAATTTTGGAAAGTAGTAATTGGAAAACTTAAATTGGTAAACCAAAACGGTCGTAACCTGAATAATTACATTTACAGAATATCGTTTAACGGTAGTGCTTTGATAGAAAATCCAAAACGTTTTACGCGAATGAAAGTTTGCATTGCTAAAAGAGTTGAAACAGCCAAGTTCTCCACGAAAGGCGTCACCGAGGAGCACGGTGAACCGTTAGACTCACGTACGAGATGTAGAATCAGCCTTGAAGTCGCAACGTGAATATTAAAGATCGTCGAACAATTATTAAACGAGGTGGTTAGTCGGTCGAGAGAGACGGAACAAGGAGAGAGATAGAGAAGAAATAAAAAAAAAGCTTGTACCTCGAACGACGTTTCCTATGTACGTGCCTGAAATGTTCAATGAGGATCGCCACGCAATCGGTCGCTACCAACATTGTTTCGTCTCCTCTGCACTCGCGTGCAACTCTCCGCTGTTGCACTCCATCGAACTCTCGTGCCTCTCTGAATTTCGATCGTGGTCGAAATCGCGAACGAATCCCTAGGACGTTTGCTTTGGGACCGATTTCAGCTCTCGAACGTCGTTCACGGAGATATCTCGTTCGGGACGCTATTAGACGCGACTCGTTCATTTTCATTCTTCGAACGTATTCGTAGCGGACGGCGAGAATTTTCGAACCGCGTAGTGCGAAATATTTTAAATGGCAAAGGAATAATTAAACATTTAGGAAACAAAGATCTCTATTTATACTTATCAAATTCTCGTACAATAGTACTATTATTAAACTGGCATTAAATTACTGCTATTATAAATTACATCCATAAAGTGTCTTCACCGTTGGATCACGAGCACTTAACGAAAACGTAACTCTAAAGTTTCCACTTTGTTTTTGAAATTGTTAGGTGTTGAAACACCTCGGAATCTATATGTTGTTCAAGACTGTTTCTATGTGCTCCGTTGACTCCAGAAACGACCATCTATTACAAAGTTTGTACAAGCGTGTCCATTTCAAAACCAACATTACGAATGTTCCTAGACGTTTCCTGGCAGTAAATTTCCCCCTGTCTTGACATACGACCTAATGCATCATCTGGAAAATTCCCTTCCAATTAGAATACTCGTTTGTAAATTTTACGAAACAATAAAATATTACAACTATTCGATCGAAAGCGATAAAGTGGATAATTTAAAGCGCAGCTGAATCGAAAAACTGCCGCGCATATTTTCAGCACGGTTGGAGCAAAATAAGAAAGAACCGTTTCTTTTGGAATTCGGTCGCGAGCCTTACGGAATCCAGAAGTCAACGGTGCCCGTGTAGCACGTTGTAGCTGTTTCTTCAAAACACGAATAAACGACTATTAAATTAATGGTCGGACGTAGCTAGAGAAATTGAAATTTATCGAAGATTTGAACGGGATAAATGAAATATTGGAAGACGCGCGTGGTCAGTGTTTCGCTGCGATGCATTAAAGTTCGAGATGTTTCGTGGTTCCTGGTGTAAATCCGCTTACACCAACGACGTGTGCCGGTTCGCAAGCTCGTCGAAACGTATTTCATCGTGGCTGCTCGCGGTTGAACGTCCTCGGTAAGGAACGTTCCAGTTTTTCCAATTCCGAAAGCGGACGGCACAAGCTGGATCTCTGGAAACGCGATGTCCAAATGCTGCAGCTGCATCGGTGGCTATACCACGGACACTTATCAGCCGCTGAGCTCGCACATCTCTCGTGGCAGTGTCAAGCTTCCCAAAGATACCAGGGATGCTTTCAGAAGCCCGAGGAATCAGCAGAGAAAGCTCAGCGTCCGCTACGACGTCGTCAGATCCGTTGGATCGGCAAGGTTAGATCGAACAACACTGACGATCACAGCAAATGGCCAAGTTTAACGCTTGACAGACTTCAATATTTATCAAAATTGACCCTACTGTATAGTAAATTTTTCATTTTTTAATATAACGATCTAACGATTTCGCATGTTTTTCTGTTTCAGGTGGGTGATCGTTTTTCTTTCCATCAACCTAATTTCTTGGGGTTGAAATGAAATGATAAGGTAATGGTTTACGATGGTCATATAATTGTTAATTATAGTAATTCTCTGTCTCGCGCGTGTACATAATCTTTATGTCTAATAACGCTTTGTGCGATACGTCACGTAGATTTTATTCCTGACAACCGTGACACACAGGCGTTAGTGGAAGGGTTGGCTATATTGCGTAAATTTTCGATTCTTCGAAATTGCTATGACAGGTCTAGTTTGGACCATCATTCATCGAACCCGAAAACCTAACGTAGCGATTTTCCATACGGTGCTCGGTTTCGAGAGCCGAGGGTTGCTGGACCGAGGGCTCGAGGGGCGCATGCGCGAAGGGTTGCAGTCACGTGACTGGTCCGGGTCACGAGTGGGGGTAGTCTCGTGATTTTTCCACGCTCGTACGGAAGCCGTCTGTCAGTTCCGCAGGAACTCTCGCGCTGTTCGGATGTTCGGGGTCTTTCTCCTTTCATCTACTCTTTTTCTTTTTCTTGCTTTCGGCGTACGTGACTAGTCGCTATCTCGTGTCTATTACCTATTTCGTGTAGTTCATCCGTTTCTATCTCTATCCTGATCTTCTAATTTCCCGTTTCGTTTTGCTACCTGGATGTCTCGCATAACGAGTAATTGCTCGATCGTTTGAAGAATAGCGTTTGTGGGACGGTGTAGAATTTTTTAAAAGGTTGAGTGTTAATTTGCCGTTGAAATATCGTATTTGGTTAGGAACTTGGTACATTTTGCGAGAGGAAATCGATTACACTCGTACTTCAACCAATGTTATTAATTTTAATTGCAAGCAATCATAGCTCTTTTTAATTGGATTAAATTTTAAATATCCGTTGCATTCTGTTGTGAATATGTTACAAAAATAAGTTCATTGATTGTCGACCGGTAAACGTAAAATTAAAAAAAAGACCAACTGATCCTCCAATTATGTCGAACCCGGAACAAATTAAAGAAATCCGCGCTGTTCTCTAAAAAGCTTCATTTATGATTCTCGATTTCTCTCGACCAACTTCAATCTCATAAAATTTTCTTCAATTTTAACCGGTTGGAGCACAGGATGTCTCTCTTTCGCGACGAGCTCTGTTAAAATCCCCCGAATTCGATAGCGTCGAGGTACGTTCCATTAACACGACAGAAATTCGCGAACCATCGACTTTTCCATCGGGAATCAAGTTCTCTTCCCTCTGGCAAAAAGTGATGCTTTCAACGTCGGGACGCGGTTTCTTGTTTCGTATTTCTTATTCTCTTTTTTCTGTTCAATTCTGCTCTTTCCAAGCAGGTTCCGCCTGTAATACCTGACTTCAACGTGCAAATAACGCGTCGAGGGTACGGCACTCGCAGCCAGGATAAATGAAATTGCTGTCGCGTGTGGCCTCCGCCTCGGCGAAAGCACTCTGATTAATGCCAACCCATTGTGGAACTATCTCCGGCCTGGAGTTCGGCTCGGTGTCCTGACGACAAAGCGATTTTCATTATGGTTACCCGATTATCCCAGAGCCAAGCCTTCGCCGCGTCCTGTCTGCTCCTATAGTCTCCAACTTCTCCCGGTCTTCTCATCTTCTCGACGAATTCTTCTTCTTTTCGTCGCTATCGGATCGTTTGTTTCTTTTCGCGATTTTCGAAGGTACTTACTCGACGGTCCCTTTACTCTTTATCGAACGAGCGAGTTCAAATTCCATGTTCGTTCGAACGAGAGTAAATCGACTGTAGGTGTTCCGAATTTTGATATCTTATTCGAACGACGAATGCTGCCGAGAACCCGTCAAATCTGTAAACGCGCGCTGTGACCTGTGCCGATGTAACTGTTTCGCTGCGAAATCGAATGAAATTCCATTCGAACGAACAGCATTCAACCGCATCGCGTACATTTTTACTCAAAGACAGCGTTTCAAGGAGCGAACAACACCGAGATTTCGTTGATTCGCTCGACACAAATAGTCGCTGTATCGACAAACGATGAAATAATTTCGCGTTCGTTTATGCGAGACAACCTTATAAATATTCAACGTCGTCCCGTTTTCATCCAGCTTCCTCGCTGTTTTTTTCCCTTCCATTTCCGTTGATTTTCCATCGTTCAGAAACTCGTTAGGGAAATTCTCGAAGACCTTCGATAGCTTGTAGCGACGCAAATGCTATTTTCGACTGCGCGTGTTCCAGAATCATGAAATTGGAGTGAAAGTGAAACGTAAAACGAAAAAAATAGTGCGTCACGAGCAGTCGTTCGGCTGAATTCGATTAATTACCCTGGAATTTGATCGGTCGATCGATCGACGCTCGTTTTGTACGCTGGATACCACGCTGAGGTAAGAATCCCCTTTTTTCAAGTTTGTAGAGTTCGCGGACAGAGGTATTCGTCTTCTTTCTTTGTCCGAGGTTCAACCGGAAGACGATAAAAAGAGAGATAACACGTTGGGACACGGTCACGAGAAAAATTGTTCCGTTTTGCGGAGTAGAATTTATGGTCCTGTTTGAAATATGTCCGGGGAGATGCTTGTTCTTCGAACGGCTCTAAATTTCACCCTCTCCTGGAATGTAGACCGACACGGCTTTCCCGAACAATCAATTTTTTAATCGAATAATTTTCCGCCGATTCGATTATTATTATCTTTCTATAGCGTCGACTACCGTAGATCGTTAAAGAAGTTAGATCAATTTACATCCAATCGATCAGTCGAACACGTGGAAAATAAAAATAAAATCTCTCGAATGGTCCTCGGATTAAATAGATTGCATAATCGATAATCAATCCGGATTATCGAATCCCATAAAAAGGTAGAATATACTTTACCCGCGTTATTTCGCCTATGCAATGACACAGCCCAGTAGAGTATGAGTTTTTAATAAAAAAGTAAACGAGTTCGCGTACCGGCGTATATACAAGGAACCTAAATTAAAAACGTGCAAGGTAATAAAAATATTAGTTCGAAAGTTTGAAATGCATTTTAATATAGTCCCGAATTGCTTTTAAACGAGTATCACCACCGTATCACGGATAACCTAGCCCCTCTACTATTCGTGCAAAATTAATAGGTGAAAATGCGATCACAGTATTGCGCGCTCTCTCGCGATTTAATTGTCGAAGTTCAGTCGATTTCCTGCATGCAATCTCTCGAATACATAATTAAAACATCGAGTTCGCCTGATTAACGAACATTTAAAGGCAAACTGGATTCAGTCGCTGCGATTACTTAAACATTTATCCATCAACGAAAAACAGATAAAGTCGATTGCGAGAATATTGGATGAAATGATTTTGAAGAACGATGTTACGTTCCCCGAGAGGATAAAATATGAAAATATCGTTAAGAAGATGGAAACTTCTTTGGAGAGATCAGAATGGAAATAAGACAGGTTCCGAATGCATCGTCCAAAGTTTCGAGCAAATTGAATGAAACCCCTATTTGAATAACTGTTTAAAATATCGTATCTGTTGTATGCAGAAAGACCGGTCGATGTACGAGTACGAGGAAATAACGATCTGAATATCAATGGACAGTTTGTTTCTTTTCTAAAAGAATCGAACGTTCCTTCCTTCTGGTATCTTGAATCATTCATGACCTTCAACAAAACACGATATCCAGGAAAATTTCTCGCTACAATATGAGCTTTTATGCTATGTATCGCGCGCTATCCGTTTTCATTAAATCGTCGAAGCTGTTAGTTCATAAATACACGCGAGTTATTACCAGCTATCGTATAATTAACGCAACAGGTTTCTTATAAACGTTTCCCACATATAATATTATATGCTTTATCGCTTTAAATTTTCTCATGCTACTCGTACCGATGTATTTCTACGCGTTGTATTACCACTTTCGTTCCTTTTTAAATTCTCATTTTTAATTTTGGACCTGACAGAACGAGATTTATAGAGTTTTCTAACTCGTAAAACGTGAAAATAATCCTTTGTAAAGGAAGTTTCGCTGATCGTTGCCTCAGGATACGAATGTCACTGTACGCAAGAAACGTAGCGTTCGATCAAACGAACGTCGCGACGGCGAACAAAAGTGTAAGTACCGAAAGAATGAACGAGAAGACGAGGAAAAACAATGGTTACCGTGACGGCATTGAATCGCAAACAGGAAATTAATACGTGCAAGCGTGCCTTTTGACATTTCCACGGTTGGCGCGACTTTTTTAAACATTTTTTGCCTCGAAGTAAAACTTGCAGGCATGGTCGCGTCGGAATCGGGGTTAAAAATAATAAAAAAAGTAGAAATTCGTAGGTTAGCGAGGAGGAAAGATGAATGCACCGCGTATTCCTTTCATGAAGGGAAGCTCAGGGTCGCGGTGTCGTTTGAAAGGAGGCCGAATCCGAGGAAACTGGAACGATTCTTCCTTCACCTTTTTCAGCGGACCAGGGAAAACCGTGTCCCCTCCAGTTTTTCCTTTGCGCAATGTCACACGACGTCGTTCATTTTATTTCTTTCCTTCCATTTTCGTAGCCCATTCCGACGGAATTTATTTCGTCGAAAATTCCTCGTTAACGAGCTTCTACGAGCTATGCGCCTGACAAACGAGAACCCTGAATGGAAAACTTGTTTTTCATCCTACATACGTGCGAGTCTTCAAGAACGTACCGATAGAATCGTCACGAATAATTACCACATACGTATTGTCTGCTAAATGAACAATAATACCTTTTTTCAAATAACGAATAAATGGAGCGAGAGTATTGAAATACGACTTCAAAGTGACCCTAGAAACCGGAAGAGAGACTAAGGGTTTGCTTCGTTGGCAAGCAATTCGTTGTTATAACGGTGAGCAGGATTCGCGTTAGGTTCTATGCAGTCCCAAAGGATCGT